GACGTATGTCCATATATTATGCCTCTGTCTATGGCCCACATTCCCATTTGTTTCACCAAGTTTCCAAAGCAAGTTTGGTGGAGTAGGTGATGAACTCGTCTGGTCACTATGAGATTACTTTCTTCTTGTACTAATTCACTTATCTACCAGAGTATCTTTTTTTTCTTGTAATAAATCTCTACCCGAGTAAAATTACACTTCTACTAAGCTACTTCTAATTTTGTTTCTGATATACTTTGTATTTACTACTTCCTCTAGTTCTGTTCATTCAACTAAAGCATGTTCATTCTCCTAAAAAAACACTATGTTCATCAATGTACAAATTTGACCCTTAAGGCATACTTTGGCCTTGTTTGGTAAATGGCTGTTGGCGGTTGGCTGTTGGCTGGTTCACTTAACTTGTTTGACCAGCTGGAATGTTTGGCTGTTTATAATGACTTTTGAAATTGGTTGTTTATAAAAGTGTTTGGTAAATTAATTGTTGGTTGTAGGCTGTTTATTAGATAATTTGTGGGCCAACAAGCCAAAAGCCAACAAAAAAGCTACTCAAAGCAGCTTTTTCATTTTGGCTTAAAAGCCAGCTTTTTCGCTGACTAAAAAGCCAATTACCAAACACATTTTTTGGCTGTTTGACCACCTAAAAAAGCCAAAAGCCAAAAGCTAACCAAAAAGCCAATTACCAAACATAGCCTTTATTTAACTTGTTTAACAATCCTATTACTTATGATCTTGGTAGAATCAAACTACATATGTTCAATCATAATATCCTATAAAGTTACTAGATATGCTCAATTATATTTTTAATCTATATTTACTTAATGTTAAATACTCCCCCAATCCTTTTATTAGAGTCTCATTTCTTATATTTATTACTCACATAATAAGGAGAAATGGGACTCTAATAAAAGAACAGAGGAAGTATAGATTAAAAAGATATAGGTTTTTGGAGTGGAAGGGTTTTCTGGGTGGTTGCGTGGGGGTTCCGGAGAGGGGGGGTGGTGGTGGTGGTTTAAAGGGAACCGACCAACCAGGAGGGGAGATGCCAAGGGCGGGGGAGTGGCAGTGAGCCAACGGAATGGAGGTTATGCTGGCAGGTGGCCGGTTTGTTTGGGGGGTCGGGGGGTTTGGTTGGGTGAGATTTTTTTTTTATATATTAAAATATTTTTTAACCAATTAACTTGCAATATGTGTCATTAAAAAAAATATACCCATTCAACTGTGAAAATGGGACAGTACATTAGGGTGTACCATGACCATGGTGCACTAAAAAGGCGGAAAAAACATACGGTATTGTTGTTTGACAAAGAACATCCTTATATTTGACAAAGAGCATACCTATATATGTTTGATAATATGTTCTTTATATTTTGTTCTTTTTATACAAATAACATACCATAATATATACTTCCTCCGTTCTTTTTTTATTGCAGCATGAGGGATTTCACGCTTGTCAATGCATTTTTTTAGCTATTAATATTTTCAATTATACTTTTGTAAAAATTATAAAAAAATAATATTTGAAAAGAAGATTTCGAGACGAATTTAACTAGATCCTACATGACTATATTTTTCCGAATGGATAAATCACAAATGATGTTCAAAGAAGATTAAGTGAATAGTGTAAAAGTCCTAATGGTGCAATAAAATAAAAACGGAGAAAGTATGTTGATTAAACATGATTTTTTGGGTTTCAATAATCCAAATTATGTTCTTTGAATTTGGGTCATATATTCTTTGAGGTGACGAGTGATGCACAAATTCTATTTTTTTTATAATCATATATCATATTAATTTATTTTATTTTTATTATCGTATGTTCTTTGTGTTTGATCAATGTATTATTTAGGTATGAATTATGTATTTTTGACATTTTAACTTATGTTCTTTTAATATATGTTATATAACCAATTGGATGTTAGTGTATTGGTGATTGGGACTACACTTGACAGGGAGGACTTGTGTTCGATTTCCCGCAACAACAATTAGGAGGGAACTGGAGCCTAACCACCCAAAACTGATCCTGAATCCGGATAAGTCCAAATGGTGAACCGGGTGAAACACCAAAAGAAGTATATGTTATATATATTTGAAAATTAAATCTTGAATTATATTTAGTTGAAAATAATTTTAGAGAGTGAAAACTAAATTTATTATGGAAAAATGAATTTTTGGATAGCGAAAACTATTTTTGGAAAAATGATATTTTTGGTAATGATTTTTTTTTCTGTTAATGTGTAATTTTTCATGAAATTTTAATAAAGTTTTTATCACATTCATTTTGTAATGTCATTATGTTCTTTAGTAATAGCCTAATAGGTAATATTCTTTTATTTTATACGTAATGTTCTTTTATTTATTGGTAATATTCTTTTATTCATAGGGTAATGTTCTTCTGGTGGGTGTAATATGTGGATGTTACACCCGCCTGTACGAAACAATTATTGATTCAACCGGTCTTTGGGATTTAAGAAAGAAAACAACTGCCTAAAGTTGCGATTATTTCAAAATAAACCAAAGTTGAGTTTATTAAAAAAAAATGGAATAAGAGTTGGGATTATAAACATCTATTTTTCCTAAAATAAAATTGGTGGGGAAAAATATGATTTATGCCATATTTGGGTTTTATTGGTGTTAGATGATGCAGAAAGTCTTTATAAATGCAAGAAATTGATGTGATATTTGGACATATTTAAGTGATTTATTCTTTAAGATGACTAACTAAATACTTTTGACTTGATTTCAATCGAGCTAAGAACTGTACTCAATAGTCAATATCATTCAACAAAACACCTTGCTCTAAACTTGGGAAAAAACTCGTCATCGATCAGATATCTTTATTGGAGTTTGATCCTTCTAAATTATATTTTATTTTTGAGGATGGTCTGGTCATGCTTAATTAAGAATTCTTATATGGATTACTTGATTTTAAAAATAGGCGTACATTCATTGATCATCGTCATTGAGCAAAGATACAAGACGGAGTGGAAATCATTTAGGGCCTATTCTCTTTAGTCTTTAGATTATTTTCAGTCCAGTTCACTTTTGTTCATTTTTAATAAGTTCAATTCAGTTCACTTTTTAATTTCCTTCTCTCATAAAATATTCAGTTTATCTCAGCTCAGTTCAGTCAATCAGAACAAACCTAATAAATATGTTTAGACAAATTTTTTTTTAAAAAATAAAATAATAGGACAGACAATTAATAAAACACGCCATTATTTATTTAATTAGAAAACCGTTGGTACTTAAACAAATAGCACAAAGAACAATATAAGCAAACCATACATACAAAAACATATAAACTCCTTAAAAATAAAAGGAAAATGTTATACATAGCCCTAAGGGCTACATATAAGCATTTAATTTACTCTTGAAAATTGTTTAAATTTAGAAAATCATGACAAAAACACACTAATCACACCGATCTGCGCGTGTTTCTATCATGAATTCCTAACTTTATACATTTTTCAAGAGTAAATTCAATGCTTAAATATATAGCACTAAGGGCTATATATAGCATTTTTCAAAATAAAATACGAAAACAAATAAATAAAAAACGGAGGAAGTATAAACAAACACAATCCACCATCACACATTAAAACACGTACGGAACGGGCGTGCACATCCGAATCCAAATCCAAGGGGCCGTATCGTTATGCTTTGACGCACTGACCTTTAAAATTTCCGGTGCATGTGTAGCCGGGGCAACACGGGCTAAATAAACCACATTGATATCCAGGGGTTGGGCACCATGTGCATGTATATTCCATGCACCATGGACACTTTGTAGGATGTGGTACGCACTCGTTTCCAGGGCAACATTGATCATTGTCGGAGCTGCACTTTTGGTTTGTTTTTAAGCAATTTAGCTTATCATCAACAACTACTCCGGCACCTTCGAGCAAGATGTTCGATATTGCGAGCCGCTTGTCATCGGAGTATTCAGCATGGAGGCGGCCGGCCACGCTAGTAGCGTTAGCCACCATTAACAATATAGAGACCAACATTGTAATTATCATCCATTTTTTCATTTTTCTTTTTCTAAATGTGTAAAGTTGATTGTTGCTTATAATTAAGGTTTTGTGTACATCTCATAATGAAGGAGGATTCCTTTTTTTTATAGAGCCCCATCACCAACTACCTTTTCTAAAGAATTAAAGATCCTACACCATACACCGGTACTTGACGTACGTACATACATTAATTATGCCTCTGTCCATGTCCTACAGCTCCTACTACAATCTCGTGAAACATGATCGAATTTGTTATCTTCTTTTTGTTTTTTCTTTTAATACTTGTAGGATTTATTAATTTATTTGTCTCTTGTACTGACGTTACTTTTATTACTCCATTCGTATTTAATACTTCCTCTGTTTTTTTAATATTGCACTACTTATTTTTTAAGGAAGTTTCACATTTATTACACCATATCTATTTTAGGAAAAAAAATTTATGTGTTCACACTATAAATACCTAATATACTCTTGCTTTTCAACCCTTACTTTTATTTTGTGCATACAATCACTTGGGCAACTTGGTATTTTTACCTTTCTCTCTCATCCTTTTTTCCACTACCAAAAAATTTGTGTCAAACCCTTATGGTGCAATAATAAAAGAACGGAGGAAGTATAAAACGTTTTGACTGTTTGCACTTTTCATCTAATTCACTCTAATCAGGCCCGGCCCTTAACATGTGCGGCCTGCACAATCGCTCAAGGCCCAATATTTTTGGAGGCCCAAAATTAATAAATATATACTCATTGTTGTGGCATAAATATAACATAGCTATTGTGGCTTAGCGGTAAACGACCTTTGTGTCATAAATATGACATAGCTATTGGGACTTTTCTACAGGCTTAGCGGGGAAAAAAAAAATTATAAACCTAGACATGCAAAATGCTGATTTTATCAAATTCAAAAAGACATCTTCAGTCCTTAACTAATCTAACACTAGCACATTCAATCTCCTGCATCATGTTTGTAAAGAAAAGTCAATCAAGTAGTAGTTAATTATGTAATAACTTAATTACCAAATTATTAAGGTCTTATGAAATTGACTTAATGTATACAAGGAAAGATAAATTTGATATCTTGGCTCTATCATTATTGAGCGATTTGAGCCTAATACTTGTATGTTAATACTTGCTTGAATAAGGAATTGGAATGACTACAATAGGATCGCGCTTGCGAATTGTAACACCCAAACCCTCAAACAAGTTAAAAGCATAGCCTTCACGCAACTTCCAATCAAACTCGTAAGCAAGAGTTGCTAGTACAAGCTCTGCATCAACAATTCCAAACGATATCCCAGGACAACTTCGTCTACCTGCACCAAACGGGATGAATTCAAAGTCTTGTCCTCTGAAGTCCACTGAAGAATTCAAGAACCTCTCTGGAAGAAACTCCTCAGGTTCATCCCAAGAAGCCGAGTCTCTTTGGATTGTCCAAGCATTGATGATGACCTGTGTCCCGGCTGCAATGTCATAGCCATTGACCTTAACATCTTGAGATGATTCGCGAAACACAAGCAAAGGAAGTGGAGGATGTAGCCTTAGTGTCTCTTTGATTACAGCTTTTAAGTACTTCATGTTCTTCACTTCATCCTCGTCGACTCTTTTCTTTCCACTGCGGCTGATACATTCCCTCACTTCGTCTTGCAGTTGTTTCATTGCTTGAGGATGCTTTAGTAGCTCTGCCATCGCCCATTCTAGCAGCGTGTATGTTGTGTCTGTTGCTGCAGAAAGCATATCCTGCAATGGATCAGGTGAATTAGATTTTTACATTAATGGTTTATAATTGATGAATTTATGGTTTAGAAGTCGCTATTTTGATACATAATTTTAGTAAATAAGACATTTAATTTTAGCAAAAGGTCCTTACTTTTGCCCTCTATAATTTTTTTTAAAAAATATGCTAATAATATTAAACATTTTATCATGTGTAATATCCTTATGTGTCTATTTTCTTAAGTAATATCACAATTTATAACAATTACTAGTAAAATAATCACTCAAAGTTAAATCTTTGAAACTGTATGTGTGTGGACTTTTCAATGGCTACAATAAAATTGTAGCCATTGAAACTGTTTCCAATCTTAGCCTTTTAAATTTTATGCATCAATCTAGTCCGTCAGTGTAGTATTTTGACATTATAAATAATAATAATAATAATAATAATAAACTGTATTTCTTACTTGAAAAAATGTTTTGTCGCCATTTAGGGGTTCTACATCTCCATCAAATATGCATACAGCCATGAGTCATATAAGCATGTTGTAAACATGGTAATCTAATTATGTAATTAACAATTAACAAAGGGTACTTGGATTTCCCCCACCCAATTTAAACATTCATCATCATCAATTCATCATGCTTTAAAATAAATCACCCAACTTCCATCATCCGGTCATCCCATGTGCGAAGATTTGTGATTTATAAATTTATTTTCATAATATAGTAAACGCAAATGAATGAAATAATGGAGCAAAGCAGATTAAAGTACAGTAAATCAGTAATTGAAGGATAGATTTTTTTTTTTTTTTTTGTTAAATTATTTTGTAAATCACAAAGTCATCTCAATAAAAGGTTAGGATTAGTCAAATTCTAATGAATGGCTGAGATTTGATCTAGTATTATGACTACAATTTTATTGTAGCCATTTGAAAACTATCTGTACAATATACTCTATATTATGAAACAATATGAGTACCTAAATTGTTTTAAACTATATTTATGCAAACAATTTTTTTTTCCGTTGGTTTTACTTGGCCGTCTAAACAATCAATAATAACTTTTTTTAATTTTTGTAAAATTTTAACCAAAAGAGGCAAAAAGAACTAGCTAGTAATCTTACCAATAGAATGGCTTTAACACTCTCTTTAGGAAGCACAGTTGAATTCTCTCTTTGAATTTCAAGCAAAATATCAACAAAATCCTGCAATTTCTCTCCTTTATCACCTTCATCTGTTTCATCAGTCTGTAAATTTTGTCGATCAATATGTTCTTGAACAATCTTTTCAATAAACTCATCAAGAACAAATGCAACTTTATCTGCCTTACGATTTACACCCCTCAAACAATCAATCCAACTCAACCACGGCACAAAATCTTCCATACAAAACGTTCCTAATGCCTCAGAAAAATCACCTAACAACTCCTTAATATTTTCACAACCTTTTTCCCCTGTATATTTCCTTCCAAAAGCTGTTCTGCATATCACATCATTTGTTAAGCCAATTAACACATCACTTAAGTTCACTTCTTCTTGTAATAATCTCATATTACTAATCTTTTTAACTATTACTTGAGCCTCTTCCTCCCTAACACGTCGAAAAGACCGGACTTTTGTGTTACTAAGCATATGAAGAACGCACATACTCTTCATTTGCCTCCAGTACTCTCCATAGCTAGCAAAGGCTATGCCCTTACCATCATACATGATTTTCCTAGCAACTTTTAAACTTGGTCTATTTGCAAATACTATGTCATGAGTCTTCATTATCTCCCTAGCTGTACCGGCTGAAGACGCCACGATTGTCGCCTTGCTGCCGATGTGTAGGAGCATGAGGTCTCCATATTGCCGTGATAAGGATCTTAAGGAGTGGTGAGGTAGTTTACCAAGTTGGTGCAAGTTTCCTAGGATAGGGAGTTTTGGTGGGTAGGGTGGTTTGTTTAATTTGTTGTTAGCATGATTGTAATTAGTTGAATATATCCATTTGTAGAGGATGATTAAGAAGCTTAACAAGAGGATTAAAGAGAGGGAATTGATTATTGGGAGTTTCTCTAGGAAATGTATAAGAGCCATAATCATGTTTACAAGCTTATTTTTCTTTATTTAATTTGGAATATATATAGGGGTTATTGGCAAGGTGGTTCTCTATCACTAATATATTAAAATAATGGAGTAGTTCGTAATTATCATCATTATTTTATTATTGTAGTAGTATGATTGGACCTAATCATGGAAACTAAATCCAAATCTCAAATATTGACGGTATTATCATTAGGATATTGCTAAAGAGCGCCCGGGGCGTTAGATAAGGATAAATTATATTGGTTGAAATGGTATTAAGTTATGAATTCATGATAAAATCACGCATCGTTCAGTATAATTAATAATTTTACCTTAATTTTTGCACTTTAATTCTCTTATCTAACGCCCCGGGGGCGCTCATTAGCTTTTGCCTTATCGTTATTATAGTAATACTCATATTATTAATTACATTGCTTGTATTTTTTTTTTGAAAGCAATTACATTGCTTGTATCATTATTAGAGCATTAACAAAAGTGAGCAAAAAGAATACTTTTTTATTCCCTCTCTACCCACTTTCATATTATCAACAACATTTTTTGTTGTCTATTTATAATTCCACCAATGATCAAAAAAATTTTATGACCATTCTCTCTCCTACTTTTTTCAATGCTCCACTAACACTTCTTTCGCCACTATATTCATATTAAATACCTTTTTTTTGGAAGTTATACTTTTTATTGCCCTGTTTATAACTATTCACATACTCTACTTTATTGCCCTGTTTTTAAGAGCATGAATATTGGAGAGGATGGTTTTATCCTCTCATTCATTCTCTCTCCTTACCCTATTTTGACACCTCACACTCTCTTTCATCCACCTCATTTTCCACTATCTCTTTCCTCTCTTCCATCCTCTTCCATTTATTTTTCCCACATCAAGGGTATCCTCTTGATATATTTTATACTATAAATATGGCCCCACCATATTATTATTCATTATTTGTTATTGATAAGATCTAATAATAATAATAACATCAACATTAATAATATTAATAATAATAATAATTAGTATTCCGTAATTGGCATACATAATAAAAATTACAATTCTTTACCAATATTTTGATACAATAACACATGGAATTAGGAATAAAAACATTAATTTATACACTAAAGTACAACAAATACAAGAAATTAAAGACAAATAAGTAAATATCCTCCTTTTTCCTTACCGATTATAAAAAGAGAGGAAAAAGAGGAAGGAGTGAAAAAAGGTAAAAAATTAAAGTGCATAAAAAATGGCCAAAATTAGGTTCATTTTATAGAGAAAAAAAATAAAGTAGTTACCATTTTTCACTAATTACCATTATACATATTTTGAGGTAGTAAAATTTTGTTAAAAATAAACAAATAAAAGGTTGACACTTGTCAAGCAATTGGAGGCCAAATTGAAATTCTAGCCGTTGCCCTTGTTTTTGCTACTTTGAAGTTTCTGTCATATGTCAGTAAGTTTTCAATTTTTTTTTATCAGCTAAAGGTCGTCGCTTGTCCATTAAAATTGCTCAAACGATGGGTTTTGGCTTATTTGCTCCATCCTCTTTGGCACAAAGGACGAGATGAATAATCCTTCACCAGATGAGGATGAATGAGAATCCTCTTCCCCTTGAGGATCCTCTATACTACCTAACATCAAAGAGGATTACTCCAAATCAGCAAAAGTACCATACAAGAGGACATATATCCTCTTTGATATTCATGCTCTAACTATTCACATACTCTACTTTATTGCCCTGTTTTTATTCATCAAAGTTAATCTTTACTTTGCCTGTCTTTGCCTATGGAAAGAGGAGTTCAGTAAATCATATATGTAAGAATCTTACTAACGAGCATCCTCAATGCATTAGATAACTATTTAAATGCCTCAAAAAAAAAAAAAAACTATTTAAAATATTTTCTAAAATGATACTATAAAATTTGGGACACATTGTAAAATCACGCGTCAATTGATGTGATTAATTTTTTTTTTTTTAATATTTATACTTTTAGTCGTCTTATCTAACGTGTTTTGGGGTGTAGGTTAGCTTTTACCGTCATATAATTACCAAAGGTTTATCAAAATGAACTAAAAATACTTCTTCCATATTTTAATTACAATAATAATTTAACTTTTTCACTATCTCCACTTCAAATTTGTATAATTATAATACAAGTACTTTATATTTGTGGAAAAACATAATCATATAATGTCTACTTTTCAATATAATTATATATAAATATAAAATGTTTATGAATTTTACAGATTGAAACAATTGAAGACACAATAATTGAAATTACACTACATCATTGTAACAAACACCAACTGAAAAGGAGAAAATCCAAATTTCTCTCTAAGATAATGAAAAATGGTCGGCAAATAATCACCATAACAAACACTCTAACTCAGTATTTTATTATTTAAGCAAGTTCTAGAATATTTGACTAATACTTTGAGTTTGGAATGTGTTATAATCTGACAAACCCGTGCCTCTTTTATTGATTGGGTATAGGACTTCTTCCATTTTTTTTTTTTAATTTGATCCGTTTTTTTACCATCTTTTGTAAATTATAAATAAGGAAAAACATATTTATGTGCAATAAAATTTTGTTAGAATTGTCTCAACAAGTATTATCATAATACTAGAGTGTACCCGTGCAGAATGCACGGGATATATAAGAAAAAATATATTTAAAATATGGAAAGTTGATTTTAATGTTGTAATTTAGACTTGAGTTGTAATGGTCGATTTTGGATTGGTCGGTTCTGTTGAAGCCTAATTAGCTCAGTTGTATTGAGTATTAATAATCTTATTAATAATGTACTGACACTTGTTGTGCTATGTTGAAATATGATATTCTATGCTTTGCTTAGAAGCTCTAAAAACAGGGTTTTATTTTTTTGTATGTCGGTGGCCAAGCAATGCTATTATGGGGTTTACTTTTTCAAAGGAGGTTACTCGTTCAGTGTTATAGGGGTTACTCGTGTTACTCGGTTAGTGTCATATGAGTTAATGTCTTGCTCTAGGAGTTGCATAAATTGTTCTGTTGCAACTTGCAAGTAGTTATTTGCTGAGGCCAGTTGCACAAAAACGTGTTGTACTTTTTTTTTTTGATGATTAAAGATGTGGAAAATGTTTGGAGGGTAATCCCTAAAAAATGCATAATTGAAGGGTTGGGGATTTAGAGTACTATAGTGAATTGTTGATAAAGGAAATGTATACTCGTGCTAATGCATGACATATAATATACTATGTACCAAAAAAATACTCATAAAACAAAGTGAAATGTTAGTACGTAGTGTTTAAAAAAAATGAAATGTTGGGGATTTTGAGTGCTATAGTAAATTATAGATAAAGGGATTGTATACTCGTGCTAATGCATGTCATATGTTATACTACATACCAAAAAAAAAAACAAAGTGAAATGTTATTAGTAGTCTCTTGAAAAAAAAAAACAAAAAGGAAAGAATGGGTAGTTATCGATTTAAAAAATTAAAAAAAAAGAGTGAGATTGGTAGTTATTTTTATCAAAAAAAAAAAAAAACTAAATGCATGAGAGTTGAGGGATGAGGTTTTGAAGGCTCCTCATTCACTGACTCTGCAATTATATATAAGATATAACTTTTATAATACTTATGTAAAGTTAAAAAAAACATAGGAAGTAGATTATTACTGTTTGTGTGTATTTAATTTTATCCTATTTTTATATAAAAATATTACTTTTATAGAGTAATAGAAGTGTCAAAATCATATCAGACCTGGCCCGATTTGAAATCGATCTAAGAAAATATCTGATTTAGATTTAAATTTCAACTTGCATACAATAATAAAAATTGATCCCATTCAAAAATAATAATAATAATTTTAATACTTCCTCCGTTTCATATTATTTGCTACGATTTAATATAAAGTAGAGTAAAAGTAAAGAGAAAAAATGTCTAATTATTGCGAATAATATGAAACGGAGGTACTCCCTCCTCCCTCCGTGTTTTAATAAGTGTTACACTTACCAAATTCGGCTGTGTTTTAATAAGTGTCACACTTCTTTTTTTTTGGCAAAAAACTACATTAAAATATTATATCTCTCTCCTCTCATGGTTCTCACTCAAACCTACTAGTACTTTTTTAATTACTACTTATATCTTTCCTCTCACATTCATTATTTTTCAATAAACTATTTACTCAACTGTCTTTCTTTTACAATTTTTTAATACTCCAACTACCCTACTTGCCTCTTATTTTATTTTAGTCAATTAAATTGTCTAAAATTATGTGTCGGCCAAACTCTAACACTTAAAAACACGACAGGGAGGGAGTAGTATTATTGATTGAAAAGATGGCATCTATATACTAGGAGTATAAACTATGGAATTATGGGGTATAAGGTTTAAAAAAATAAAAAATAAAAAATAAAAAAACCAACTATGGAGTATAAGGTGACAGCTCGCATAATGGAAATAATCTGATACGTTCATGTTGGACCCGCATTCATAAAAAAAAATTAAACAGAATTCAAAATTAAATAGTAATGAATACGACTTTTTGTACTTTGAAACGATTACATTATTTGATATCTTAGTTAAAAATATGTGGATGGTGGTAAAACACAACCAATTAATTCTTGATTGGTTCACATTGATACGGAGTATCTGATAAGACTGCTAATTTTTTTCAAGGTCTACTTGTCGGAGTTGGTATTCTTCAATTCGTGATCACATGAGAGATTCTCAATTCAACATGTTTTATCCATAAGATGGGTATAGTATACCCATAACTTTTCATGCCAAGTTAATGGTACAGGTTGTAGCCATTGGGTTATTAGCATGGATAAGAGAAATGGCATAGCACTCATATGCTAATCATATCGTATTTTTTCTAAAGGTAAATAGAAAGACTTTGACCGTGCCCCAATCGATCCTTACGGATTTTATGGTTTGATATCTGCGGGTTGGATGCTAATTATATTGTTACATGGACAACCAATATGCATTCGGTTTTCATTGTCCCAAGTAGAGAAAAATAGAACAGATGGCTAGACTTCTAGCTCCATCTCAAACAAGGGTGTGAGACATGAAGTTAATTTAAGA